TTATAATCACAATTTGATCTTGTTGGCGTTCCTTCGTGAGCGAGAGCACCTGTAACCTCGAACTTTGCTTAAGGTAAGAGAATGACGTGCTTTCCATCCTTGGTGAATGAGTATGTGTTTCTATATCCGTTTTGCTGAGTCTTACAGTCAAACTGTCATGGTCTTCTCAACAAGATGTGGAAGGCATCCACGAGCACCATGTCACACCACACCTAATCCTGCAGTTGGTTCCCAAGTGAAAATTCATGATGCACCTCTTGTCAATGCTGACTTTGTTCTTTTTCTTCAATCATGTCAGGTATGGTTGGGAATGCATCTTAGTCGTGAGGCTCAATTTATCCAACATCAGTGTAGACGTCACATTGTTATTCTTACTTCAATCGATGATGAGTCTGCATATTTTTTCATTCACAGTGCGATGGGTGTAGAATATGTTGTGGGGAAGCCAGTGCTGCTCCTTTGTAACCTCAATCTAAAGAACTTTTATAGCCACAAATATCTCGCCCTCATCTGGTGGAAACTGGTACTCCCTATCATGTTCTTTAGTTGCCTCTTCTTCGCTCACTTTCTCCACTGCACCCTGCTCGGTGAATGACACAACTCGGCTCATTGGACAATTGGAAGCAATGTGTCCAAATCATGACATCTTAAGCATTTTCTAACCAGGAATGTATTGAGGGTGTTGCTCTTCTCATATTTCTTCTCACTTTGGGCAACTCTATCATTCTCTTGACCGATCTTCTCCACTCTCGTAGGTGTGCTCCTACGGGTATCTTCAGTTGTGGGTGGCTGTCTGAGTGCATGTTTTGCTTCTGTTGTCTCTCCAATTTTAGTGCTAAGGCATGAACCTCACTTAAAGGCTAGTAAGATTGTAGTTGAACCACACTGTCGCTGGCAGGCTTCAGGCCTCCCAATTATCTAGCTATCATGTGCTTCTCTGGCTCCGTCAGATAACATTTCAGCTTATGTTGAATTAACTCCGCTATGTACTCCTCCATGGATAGTTATCTCTGCTTCAGGTGGTGGGCCTCAAGAAAAGCTTCCGGTAGTAGTGTTGGGGTAGGTAATATCACTGCAGCTTCCTCTTCATCTTCTTTTAGGAATTAATCTTGCTCCATCTTTCTTTATTTCTCCCACTCTCTAGATTCTCTCACTACAATGAGGCGTTAGCTTGGTAGCAGCATGTTTCACTTTCCAGTCATCTGACACCTCATTGTATTAACCGCTTTATGGTTTGCAACCATTCTATGAAATCATCCGGATTCATCCTCCACACTTTATGTCCACTTTTACTCTGGAGTCTTTGTATCCTCCAATAGACACTTCATCTTTGTATCCTCCAACAGACACATCTTCTCTCGGCTTCGTCTGATAGTGTATCCCAAACCATCGTGGCTTGTCTTGCTCTCCACTGGAATCATCCCTACGGAAGGGATTCCGGTGTTCCTCTCTCTCTTTGTCGGATTTCGCTATGACGCTTGATAGTGACCTCTCCTTGTATTATTTCCTCAATATCAGTGAGTCATTGTAGCACTCGACCGAGTTCTCGTTGCATCTCTTCCATGGTAAACTTTTGATTAGGGCCCAACAATTGCCTCTTCAGTGGCTTGATTATTTTTTAGGTTTGAAGGGGTGAAAGGTGTGTAGGGTGATGTAGGGCGGGAAAGAAAATTTTTGGTTGGTCGGCTTGGAAAAATCAGTACGGGGAGGGGTGTCGGGTGGAGATAGGATTGGTTTTTGTTTGATGCTGGAAACCCTAGGTTAAGAGTAGGGTTATGCTAGCTCTACTACTAAATAATATCAGAGTTAACCCAAATAATAATATGAGCACAAATATTATTACTGAAAAAATCAAATAGGTGGTCACAACCAAACACACACTGAAATAAGAAATACAACTACACGACACAATCTCCCACTAAGGTTTGATCTGTGGGTGGTGGGGGTCAAAGGCGATCGGGGAGTGGTAGTAGGTGGCTGGAATGGGTTGTGGGGTTGATGGAAACGACAATGGAGGGGCTGGAATTGCGGTGGCTACAAGGTGGAGGGCCTGGAACAACAGCGGTGGCAAAGCGGAGGCTGGGACAACAAGGCCAATGAAGAGGAAGGGTGTAGACTACAGGACAACAAGAGGAGCGCTCTCTTGGGCGGGGGCAACGAGGAAGAAGGTGTTTAAGGGTGCTAGCAACGAGGGGAAGGGGGATGTGGGGTTTTCGGGAAGGAAGCAACATATCAAAAGGGAGGAGTGTGGAGGATGAGATGGTCAAGGATAAATACCACCTCATAAGTGAGTTTTAACCGGAGCACCAGTCGACCCCAGAAGGAGAATCACCATCTTAGAACGAGATATAATCGGATCATCACTCACTCTTGGATACAGATCTAAACGGAAAAATAGGGGATGCCGACAGTTATCTTCATAGAAACGCGCTAAAAAACTCACCCTAGAACATAAAAACAACACCTAAAAACTAATAGGTAACTAAGAAGTAGCCCACTTCTAGGCAGCAATGCCGGACCCTAGGAGGGCCAGTTGATCGTCCCTCTCCCCTGCTGACCCGGTCCCTGGTTGTTTGTTGCAAGGCCTTGCACCTGGTCCAAGCAGCCCTATGTTGTCGCGTCTCGCATACTCGCGGGAGACGCTCCGCATCACTCCAATTTTCCCAACTTACATATTTTTCTAAATTACTACTTAATCATAAACTCAAAATTAGAAAATGCACTTTTACCTCAAAATTTCTCATGTAAACACCGTAGCTTACTACTTCAATTTGAAGTTAATTTTATGAATGAATTCACAAAATATTAGATTTTCTATTAAGCTTCATGCCTTCCCCTCATTTCTTCACCTTCATTAATTCCCTTCTTCTCCTCATGGCATTAGTTCTCCGGTTCTCGATTTTGATTAGTCTGTAGGTTACAGGATGGGGAATGTGGGGAAGATGGAAAGGAAAATAATGCTTAAGCTTTATATACATATCAGTTATCATCTATTTATTCTAGATCAAGTCAAAACTATCTCAGTTGTCCACTGCTTCATTAGCTGTTGTATGCATATATTAGTGAAATTGCACTTAAAGCTACAGTGCAATGTTTTCTAAACAGTCAATTTATTCCTTAAAAAGTATATAAACTTTAAGTTTATTAATCAATTAGTAATTTAATTTAAATACGCTGATATAGTTATATATATATGTATATATATATATATATATATATATATCAAATTGATTAGAATTTCATATAATTTTCTTTATCCTTTTTGTGGAGACTAAAAATAGGGTTATCATCCAAAATTTTGAATATTACATTACGTTTAAAGTAATGTGACATTAATAGAATAAAAGATTTTATTTAATATTGGAGATTAACATCTGTAGCCCTTTTGAATTGGCGAGTATCCAACAATTATGCATTTGATGTTTTGGATCAAATAGTACTAGATATGGTTGGAGTTTGTGCACAAAATTAATATGCTTGCAACTCTTGGAGTTAAGAAATTCAGAATCCTCAAATGATGATACTGATCAAGAGGGTCACTTTGGAGTTCCAAAATTAGGTGTCTTGAAGGAATATGGTTGATAAAATAGGTAAATATGAGGATGTTTCTCTTCAGTAAGAGTTTTGGACAAAATTTATGAACATGTTGATCGTGCCATCTTGAATAAATGGTAGTTTTTTCTCTCAGGCATCCCATTTTGTCAAGGGCTATAAACACGTAAGCTTTGATGGTGAATCCCGTTTTCATTCAAATATTGAGTAAACTCATGCTAGAAATAAATAATATATCTTTTGTGTCTTCGCCTGACTCATTGGTTGCGGTCTTTGGTGTAAGTCCCCCGGGGTTCTATCAATGCGTAGGATTGAACCAATGAGTCAGGCGAAGGCATACGACTCATTAGTTGCGGTCTTTGGTGTAAGTCCTTCGGGTCGGGGGTTCTATCCCTGCGTAGGATCGAATTGCACACCCACCTGGAAGGGGGGTTCGCCCCTCAGTTAAACTTTGGGGTTGATTGGCGATCAACCTTTTTTAAAATTAATATATATATGTTGCCAATGCATATGATTTTGATGGAGATTTTAAACACATTTTTTTTATAATTTTATGAATTGTGGGAACAAGGCATAGGCATCAACATATTCTTTTATATTCATCAATAAAACATATAAGTCAACAGACGTTTGTTAGAGTAGTCATTCTAGTATGCCGGTGGATGTCATTATAAATAAGATGGAAAACTTTGGATGGTTTGCATGGCCTTGTGGAAAATTTTTTTTGTGTTTGTTTAGTAAGGGCGCACCTTTCACACTCGCGATAAATGTTATATTTGTTGATATCTATCATAATTCTTTGACTTAGGGACTGATATTATTTGTCCAAGTTTATATCAAACGTATGATTGATTATTAGCCGAAATCTTTTTTGATGCAAATTTTTGGATTTTTTTTCAATATTCCAGTGTACTGCAAGCAATGAAACTTTAAAGGACAGCTATTTATTCAATAACATAGGTTTTAGCTGTGCTTCTCATAGCAAACATTGCCTCTTAAAAATGTTTCCAAACTGGAAGTAGTGCGCCTGTGTGTTCTGCTATCCAGTTCCAACATCCACTCCTGCTATGTGGCTATTTAAAGTTTATTAATAGGTCATGTATGCTGCGTGAAACATTATGGCTAACAATCCAGTTTCCAGTTTCTCTTGAATCCATAATTGAAGCAACTTTTTGGACTAATTTATACTGGCTTTTTAATGCTTGAAAATGATTCATTAATTTTTTTTTTATGATAAACATCATATATATTTTTAATGATATGCTTAGTTTCTTATGCTTAATTAGATTGAAAATGTTGCATTCTTTATGAAAAAATTGTTAGGACTTTCAAGTTTCATTAATTGTCACTGCCCAAAACACGTAATTGTAAACTATGCAGTTGGTTCACACTATATTACTCTTTTTTTTTTTCATTCTAATGCTTGAATCTTCTCTATGAACTTGTAGGCATTCTCATTGTTCCTGTTATCATTGTATTACACAATATTGAAGGATTTACCTGCAGTAGCTGTAGTTGCCTTACTATTGTACGTGGGAAGCTATCAGGTATTTTTTCTATTCTCTACCAGTTTATGGTTTAATTAATTTTACCTACCTTTCCGTTTCCCAATTGAAATTTCTGAAGATTTTGATTCTGCGAGTGACAATGAATTCTGGAACTGGTTCCAGTCCTTTTTCGTATATCAAACTTTTCCATCCCATGTAGTCAGTTTATTTTCTTTAAAATGCTCTTACACATTCATCCCTCCCCTTCAATAATGTAATGACATGCAATTTATGTAACGCATGGTTAAACGTATAATGTATATTTTATTAGGAGGTGAAAATTTTATAGTTTTTCTATGATAAATAGAAAGAAATATGATACCGGAGATAACCCAATCCACAATAAGAAAACAAATATTATTACCGAAAAAGTAAATAGGTGGTTACAATCAATACATTGAAAGGGAAAATAACAATAGAGACGACACATAAACACACTAGGGTTTGATGTAAGGGTGATGGTGGTCGGCATTTGGGTTTGAAGGGGTGGAAAGTGGTGGGAAGGATGGTATGGGCGCTGGGATGAAGTATAACAGCTGTTGGAGCAGTTTTTTGGGAGTGGCAGCTATTAGGGGGGTGGCTGGACAGCAAGAAAACAACAGGTTTGCTGTTTCCCGGATGGCGACAGCGAGGAACAGTGATTGGGAGCGATGCGGGAATGTTGGGGAAGGGTGGAGGCACAAGAGGTGGTTGCTGGCTGGTTCTTCGGGAGGACAGCAAAGGAACGGCAATGGGACGCTGTTCTATGCAGCTGTGTCAAGGAGGGAAGAGGGGGGAAGGTGGTTGGAGAGCAAGAACTGCAGAAAACAGCAAAAGAGGCTGTTCCGGGCTGCTGCGGCAAGGAAGGGGCGGCCAAGGGTGATGGGCTGGGTGTGGGGCAAGGAAAGTCGGAGATAAATACCAAATCGGGAGCGAGATACAGCCTGATTGCCACTCAACTTTTTAGGAGAGTCACAACCTCATAATAAGATACAGCCGGAGCATCACTCGTTCTTGGATACAACCTTAGAAGGAAGAACAGGAGACGCCGACTGCTGTCCTTATAGAAATACAATGAAAAACTAAGCCTAGACTCCCACAAAAGTGAATTTATAATAATAGGATAACAAGGAGTGAGCCAAGGAGCCGGTCGGCACTCCCAAAATAGAGAAAGGCCTGGGCGAGCAGACGGGAGTTTGCGGGTCGCTGGAAATCTTGCATTCGGGATATGTCTGCATCAAAATATGCGTGGAAATTGAATTTATATGTGTCTTTTGATATCAATGCAATTTGTTTGAGTTAATTCCTAGATGTTTGTCTACAACTTGAAGCCCTCCTCCTCACTAAAAAGGCTAAAAAGAAGAAACCCTAGAAGCAGTGGCACCTCAAATAGAAAAGTTTTAGTTTGAAACACAGACACTAAATTTCTGGGACAAACTATAACAGCTGTTGGAGCAGGGAGTGGCAGCTATTAGGGGGGCAGCTGGACAGCAAGAAAACAATAGGTTTTCTGTTTCCCGGATGGCGACAGCGAGGAGCAGTGATTGGGAGCGATGCGGGAATGTTGGGGAAGGATGGAGGCTGCAGGAAACAGCACAAGAGGTGCCTGTTGGCTGCTTTTTTTGGAGGACAGCAAAGGGACGGCAATGGAATGCTGTTCTATGCAGCCGTATCAAGGAGGGAAGAAGGGGGCAGGTGGTTGGAGAGCAAGAACTGCAGAAAAGAGGGAAGAAAAGAGCAAAAAGAGGCTGTTCCGGGCTGCTGTGACAAGGAAGGGGCGGCCAAGGGTGATGGGGTGGGTGTGGGGCAAGGAAAGTCGGAGATAAATATCAAATTGGGAGCGAGATACAACCTGACCACCACTCAACTTTTGGAGAGTCACCACCTTGGAATGAGATACGGCCGAAGCACCTCTCATTTTTGGATACAACTCTGGAAGGAAAAATAAGGGACGCTGACTGCTGTCCTGACAAAAATACAATGAAAAACTAACCCTAGACTCCCACGAAAGTGAATTTATAATAATAAGATAACAATGAGTGGGCCAAGGAACCGGTCGGCACTCCCAAAATAGAGAAAGGCCTGGGCGAGCAGATGGGAATCTGTGCGTCTTGGGAAATCTCGCATTCGGGAGATGCCTGCATCAGAATATGCGTGGACATTGAATTTATATGTGTCTTTTGATATCAATGCAATTTGCTTGTGCTAATTGCTAGATGTTTGTCGACAACATGAAGCCCTCCTCACTAAAAAGGCTAAAAAGAAGAGACCCTAGAAGCAGTGGCACCTCAAATAGAAAAGTTTTAGTTTGAAACATAGACACTTGAATTTCTGGAAAATTGATTTCGTTTAATTCCTGTATTTATGCTGCAAAAAACACAAGCTCTCTTTTAGAAGGGAAGTGAGCCACAATTTTTATTTCGAATGAAAACTTCAGCAATGTACTGTATGCTTTATTCCCTTGCAACCCTTACCGTGTTAGAAAGAAAAGGAACCAAACTTTTTAGAAAGAAGAAAATTAAAACATATCCGATCCTTACTGAAGAAAGGGTCGAGGATACACTTGATTTAGGAAGTTTCTGGAAGAAATCAAAGAGCCAAATTTTAAGGCTTACATTATGCTGCTACCATTTTTGTATCGAAAACTGGGGGAAAAAAAAAAATATAAGTGGTAAGTTTTTTCTTTCTCCACTAGGTTATATGAGTTTAGTCTTTCACCAAATTCTTGGAAATTCATTCCCCCGTGATTATGACTTTGTAATCAAGCTCTTTCCTATTATTGTACCCATACATTTTTTAGATTTTGCATAAAATTTTCCACAGAAGGTAGGTTTTCTAGTAGCATCCTCTGTTACGTTTATGCAGCGAGGCAGTGAATGCTTTTTTTTTCATGGCAGCAGAGCTCACATTAACATTATAATAAAGTCTTTTTTGCCATGCTGTTTGGTTTGGCTGGTGCAACTCTATTTGAGAATTTACTCATTTCAAATTGATGATTTTTTTTTGTTTTTATTTGAGATTTCTTCTATTAGATCATTCATGCAGTTTTGATATTTCTTTGTAATGTGATGTTTTCATATGTACATTTTTCCTGCTTAATTTTTGTGTATTAATTTTTCATGTACCCTTTATGTTCATAATCCAGCATTCTGTCATATAGAGAGCATGGTTTTATGGTTCTTGTATTGCAAACTTCTGATCATTATTGCTTTGTAAAACGCCCTTTCCTTGCCTCCAATATGCCACCATGTCATCCTCTAAGTAATGTTAGGCATTTATCAGCTTTAAGTGCACAAAATCATCAGCTATTTCCCTAGATTCATTCTTGAGAGCTCAATAGTTGCAAAAACTTTTTTAGCAGCACCTTATTTAGTTTCGTTTTTATTAGTCTATGAACAATGAAACTGGCAGTTTAAACGAGTATCCAAAATAAATTTGACATTTAAAGCATATTGACACTCTTTCTTTCTGTGAAGGAAGTTCATCTCATGTTGACAGAATCAATTATTAACATTAAACCTTGATGGAGAAAACAGTTCTACTTTTAATTCTCCTACAAAATTTCTGTTCTTCCTTTTATTGCAATTTTACGCACTCATGAGCAGCGGACATGGGGTTGAGAAATTCCTCGTTACTATCATAAAAAACAGCAAACAATTTACTATTCTTACAAGAGCTTCTGTTGCAGTTGTCATTTGGTCCCATTGGTTGGCTGATGATCTCAGAGATTTTTCCGTTAAGAATAAGAGGGCGTGGGTTGAGCATTGCGGTCCTTGTAAACTTTGCCACAAATGCTTTGGTGACATTTGCTTTCTCACCTTTACAGGTATGCCTCATCATTAACTTGTTTTCATAACATTTCCAATGCGCATTTTATGCAATCAGGATCAACTATAAGGAAGGATAGCTTTCCTTCGCTTTCACATTTTTTCTTTCCAGCATTATTTATCTTGCACAATTTAGCACTGCCTTTTGGATGCAATTGACTTAGTTGTAAAAATATGTGTTATGGTAGTGATAAGAAGTATTTGGAATCATAGTTTTATTAAGGGATAATTACATACAAACCGCCTGAAACATTTGTATTTACAAATTAAACACCAAGATATTTTTTTGAACTATTGAACCGATGTATTTATGCATGCCGCAATCAAAATATTGAGAATTTGATAAAAATGAAGAATACGGGTTGGGATTTTACTATGAATTTTGATATTTGAGTGAGAATTTGAAAATTGGATGAAAGAAGGTGGTTGATTTGTAAATAAAAATTTTTGGGTGGTCTGTATGTAATTGCCCCTTTTATTTAATTTTTTAATTGGAATTTCATTATGTATGCCCCTGTTCTTGAGTTGGCACAATCCTATGTAACACCAGTTTTCAAAATATAAGATACCAAGAGGGTCCATTTATATATTAAGAGGCAATCAAAATAAGGAAGATCTACATGCATAGCACTCAATTATTATGTATTTACATATCTAACACCGATGCTTCAATTTTTACGTAAATGTCATCTTATCTATGCATGGAAATGTTATTTCACCTTTTAAAAGTTTAAATAGTGATATTTTTATGTGATATGAAAGATTTTGGGTGGTATAAATGTAAAAAAACAAAGTTTAGGTGCTAGATATGTAAATACATAAGAATTTGCTGGTATGTATGTGACATGGAGCATCCAGATTGTGAAAACTGAGATCTCAATTGCGGGAAATCTACGATATCATGGAATGTGAGAAAATCTCGCCACCTGTGTGGGTGCTAAACCAAAGTGCCACCTGATTTTCGATCCAGCTTGTTTTTTTCCCTATTTCATTATCTCTAATTAGGGCATTTTTAGTCTTTTTTGAGGACAATAGCCTTGTTTTGCGTATTTTGGAGATTGCACTATATGTTTTTTATCCTAAGGAGTATTGTATTCTCATCCTTTTTTAAGTGGTGTAATTGTAGCTTGTGCAAGAATTTGTGGTGAATCTCCTTGCCATCCATACATCATTGTTTTACTCTTCTCTTTATTTGTTTTTGCCCAGACAACCACCAAAGGAACAATCGTCAAACGATGTTTATCAAATGTCTTCAAACTCACCTATTATTATTCCCTTATTATTCCACAACCCCGCCCCATTAGATTTGCTTCTTGAACATCTTCTTGGAGTCATAAAATGGTATCTAGTATCGGAGCACCACAAACCTTAAAATCTTAAGAAATTTTCTTTCCGCTTCATACATATATATATATATATCTAACCATTTTTATCGCAATTCCTAGCTGTAACTTTATTTTTTTAAAAATTAATCTTTCTACCTCCACCAAAAATCTAAACCCCTGACCGCCTTTTGATTTGTAATCATACACCTGTTAAAACCTTGATGGAGAAAAAAAAAAGGATACCATGTCGCTAAGGAGAAATTCTTAGCGAGGTGCCCAAGAACTTATTGTGAAGGATATGCTACGAGAAATTCTCTAACTGTAACAGAGGCTTACTGCCTTTGATAGAAGACAACCAGATGAGATCACCCATATTTTTAACGGTGATTTGCCAGATCAAAATGAGGAAGTGAGTCTTTTCCATCCGAAAGTGTCTGGTGATGAAGAATCTATACCTTGACGATTTTATGTGGAATGTCAAAGGAGAACTCTCGGATGATAGAGTGAATGCCAGATTTTTATGATCACATAGATGCTAATAAGTTCATTGAGTGACTCTAGATAGTTGAACGATTCTTTGAATACAATGATGTTCTACCTGGCAGAAGGGTAAAACTAGCAGTGATCAAGTTAAATAAAAGTGCATCTCTGTTGTGGAAAAAATTCAAGTGTCTATGTCGATGTATGGGAAAGGTAAAATCACTATCTTGCCTAAGATGGAAAAGGAAATGCAACGAAGTATCTTCCAACACATTACATATAGGATTTGTTTTTGAGATTTCAACACATACAAGAGCAAGATCTCTCAATAGAGGAGTGCAACACCAAGTTGTAGTAGCTTATTTTGAAGTGTGAGTTGGTAGAGCCCAAGGAGAGCACCATAACCTAATATGGGGGGG